AAAGACATGTTTCGACAGAACTTCTGCCATCTTCAGTTGAATGAATGATTACAAAGCAAGTTGAATAATAAGTAGGCAAAAATGCTAATTAGGACAAATAGTAACAACAGAACGTGAAAAGGTGTAAACTAAAAGGATAATTTTAGATTTACATGGTGTAATTGCTGATTGAGGCAAGGTAGTTCTTTTTGAACTATCCATATTCAATTGGTCGTTTTCCTTAAAATCTTTACATGTCTGCTGCTATCTAGACCTTTTTTTTTAAAAAAAAAAAATGTTACTAATCTTCACGATGACTTGACTTCATTAGGAAATTCAAGGAGACCCATGCTTAAAGTTTGTTGGGCGAGGTACATTTTCGAAGTAAAAATGTTCCTTTTTGACTCAGACGCTAAGATTGAAGCTCTCTTGAATTGTCAGATTATCATTTTATTATCAATATGCTTTTGGACGTGTGCACTTAGGTTAGGAAAAGGTCAATAGAAAGAGAACAGTGTGTACGTCAGAAATATAGAGTTTTTCAGCTAGGATGAGCTGTGAACAAAAGAAAATAATAGTCACACGTGCAATTCATGTAATGTTTTTCCAGTCTGTAAAATATACTGATGTATGATCAGTACAATAGGATCATACACTTTTTAATGAATTAAAACAGAATAAACTTCTGATAGAAGATACCAGTTACTGCAGAAGATATCTCATAACGAGAGATGTTCATATTGCAATTTATCCAATTTCTAACCCAACACCACAGGAATTAAGTGAGCTAATCAGGTGGCAAGCTGTACTGTTCGTGTGCTTCCCTCCCACCCATGAGAAAATGGGTAAATTTGAATGTCTTGAAAACAATACACCTTTTCGTGAATAGACATTGGTTATTGATCAAGCTTAAGGTGAAGATGGCTGGATATTGGCCGAGTTTCATTTTTGCGTGTTTATGGTTTCTCTTTTTGCAATCTCTTTTTGCGTCACCTCTCGGATCAAAATGAGATCTAAGAAGTTCTCCTCGCAGTGTGGGTTTGGGCTACGCTTGGCAATAAATTAGTCCTCTGCCTTCTTAAATTCCGTGCAGTCAGAGCCATTCTGTGAACGTTTGAGTTGTACGAGAATTTAAAGTACATTTTCTTGAAATCACCTTCGAGAGAACTGTGAAATTCGACAAAATCGTCCGCTGAACAATTTTAGGAAACTGGAAAACCTGAATGTGGACGCTTTACACTGAGCAGAAGTTGTATTTGTTACCTTTTATTAGACAGGGATAATCATCTACTTCTGACAAGACGAGCCTTAACATGTCATTCACATGAGCTATAAATTAAAGTGGCTTGAGCCTGCTTCTTTACAGTTTTGGTAGCTAGATAATGTTATCCTCTTTGCTTGAGAAAATGGTTAGTTTCCTGAAGTGTATTGTAATTCAGTTCAGTAAAGAATATATCTTTCTGCGAACTAAATTGTGACTACCTTTTCTCGGTAAGTTGTTTTGAGTGGAGTCAGTACATAAATTGCGCTGTGCAAAAACGACGTAGCTCTGAGCAGCATCGATTTTTCGTTATAGGTGAAAACGATAAATCGTGTAACACTGCGAAATATCACAACAGCTATCACAATAGCTTCGCGATATCTCGTGCAACATATCGTTTTAAGCAAAATATCGTTCAAATACCGTCGATATATCGCGATATTCGTCGATTATCGTTTACATTACTTTTGCACAGTACTTATACCTAGTCGTACCTTATTGGTACGCTTCCGCGACATATTGGCGAGACGTAGTCGAGCCAAAATACCCACGGCAAGACCAAATGAGTCTGATATACGGTAAGATTGGGTATTTACGCTAGCCAAATTTGGCCAATTGACCATCATACCGTAGCCATATCGGTCATATCGGGTCGGTGACTTGATATCGGAGAAAGATAACAGTCGAGGAATTTTAACCTAGAATTACAAGCACCATGAATTTCTTGACAGTAATCGCGTTAAAAACGAACCTTCAAAAGCCTTTATGTGTATGTTTTGATTAAGTTCGTCTGTAGTTTTACTACTCTCAATAACGTAAACACTGAGGCACAATGAATACAATTCTCGAAGTGCCGTGCTAATATAATCGTTCCGTTCTAGGAGCCGCTTATGCAATAACTCGTTCAATTGTGGGCAAATATGTATACAACTCCATTTACCATTGATGACGGTAGATCGTTCGCGAACTCAAAACAGACCCTTGTGAAATATACCGAATGACACTGGGTGCATTCCTGATAGGCTCCATTGACAGTCATGTATTGCTGTCTTCCCTTTAGGTAACTCTTTAGCCAGCCTACAATGGGAGACAAAAGTAGTTGAGACACTAGGGAGCTTAAGCAACGACGACGACGACTTCGAGGACGACGCCTAGTAAAAAATGAATTTATATTTTACAAGCTAAGTTCGCGATTGTCTAGATCTGTCCGGTCCGCCAATGGCTCTAAAAACGTGCTTAAGCTAAATATGCAACGACGGCGTTCAATTCCAAATGAATTAGCCGTCGTCGTCCACGTTCCGTAGACGACACAAAACTTGGTAATTTCACGTTGTCGTATTGCAGAGGACGGCAAAGAAATGTACCAAGATTTATAACACACGTGCACAGCTATCGTTTGCCTCTTATTATATTTTATTTGTATGCATCTGGCGTTGATTCTCTAGTACCTTCGCTCCCCCCCCCCCCCCCCCCCCCCCCCCCC